CTATGGTTGGGGTGAAGAGAACGGCATGCGCCATTCGCTCATGTATTGTTTAACTATATTTGCGGACTGACAATTGTGCTGAGCTCCTGCTGTATTGAGCCTGTCCATTTCTTAATTTAGCCCAAACTTGAGGTCTCCCCATGTCTATGTGTGCCGTGAGGCCGTAGTGGATGTGCTGGCACTGAGTGCAAATGTACCTGATCATGCCGTGCAGACGTGTAAAGGTCAAGGGTGCTCTGTGTGTAACCGACTAGGAAAACAGCCGATCGGTGCAGTGAGAGAAGGGAGAAGAAAGAAAAGCATGCAAAAGCGATGCAGGAGGGATGAAAGGGAACAAGAACACTGTTACACTGCTGAGATTGACTGTGTTTTATCTGTTATGACATTGTGTTAAATTAGCTAAATTACATGGATAAGCTACATAGATGTTAATAGAAGAGGAGGAGAGATCTGGAGTGGCGTTAATACCACCAGGGAGTGGTTCTGGGGTCACGGTAGAGCTGTCCGTTCATGCAGAGCAGGTCCATGGCAATGAGAGCATGGGAGCCCTTCTGAATGAAGCTGCTGGGAACAGGACTTTGTGTCGCTCCATGATCTCTCTGGGAAACTGGTCGTTTACACTAAAGTCCATTCCTTGTAGCTCCCTGCTGTAACTCGCCAACGGCTCCTTCTGCTGAAATGTTACCGAATTTGGCCACAAAAGGACGCAGATTCCAGGCACCAGGCCCATGTTCTTCACGGTGTCCTCCGGAAGTTTCGGGTGGGTCTTACAGTAACTTCTGTGTCCTCTCAAGCAGACTCTGGGATACCTGAAAACACCAGGTTATCTCTCATGCTACGGGTCTGAAGACCGATGGCAGTCTTTTTAATTTTTAATTTTCTTAACTGAGCTGGGTGACTTTCTCACTTAAGAGACTTGACCGAGTCTGTAGCATAGCGTTTTCAGTGACATTTCCACCTGCTGCTGGCTGAATTCTAAAGATTCCCTCATGGATTGGAATTCACGGTTTAGAATCTCGATCAGAGACATGCTCATGTAGAAGCTGGACAGTCGCTTATCGGTTGAATCCAGGACGTCTGCAAAGTCCTTTACCGGTCGACGACGTTGTTCCGGGGCAATCTGCGACTTCTTTGGATAGATATCTTTTCTGCTTTTACTCCTATGTTTTTGGCCTTTTTTTAAAATTAAGAAACGAGTGTTAGTTGTTTTTTTTTTCTCTTTTCACTACACTTTTAAAAATGCATAGAAGCTTCTAAGCGAAATATGGTGGGTGACTCGACAGTGAGCAATGCCAGCTAACACAGAAATGAACTTTAGTAATCACTAACTTCAATGAGCGATTAGCAGCACAGATTCAACAAAAACTTCTCATGAGAACAGCAAAGCAAACACCGTCATAGTGCTTTGAAACTTGATGTGATGTGCAAGGGGCGGAGCTTGCTGAGAAACCAAGGGCATGCATACTAACTGTTTAATGACTTTTAATTAAAAAATATAGCTCTCAAGTGCTTTATCTAGTCGGTAAAAATTGAAAACTGCTATATAAACATCAGTACATTATTATTTATTATGACCTGAAATTAGTTCATCTGGGGAAAGAAACTGGTTGAATACCTCACGACACAAGAGACGTTTCTTTCTCTATCCAGGTGGACTACTTTACCTTCCCGATGGTCATTACACACATATTTACTGCATAGTAATTCATTATTACATAACCTCGATATAAAACAGACATGAGGCCAGCAATACCAAACAAATAAAGATGCAATGAAGCAGTTTATTGGCTTCAGCATTGACCGGTGCCAAAACAACAAACAAACATCTTGTGTTCCTTATTCCCACCTAACCTAAAATAAAAGGCAAAAAAAGAGACAAATCTCTAACCTATGCTCCTAACTAATAAATAGGAGAAAAAGGATTTCAACAATTCCTCACAATTGCACACTTTTCCTGTAATGACAGCAATCTATGCTAGGATCTGCTGGGAACTACTGATTAATCTTTACAGCTTTGGTAATAATTAGGGATCCAACCAAACAGAATTGCTGTTTAGTTAAATTCTAGTGGGATTACTGGGGATAAAAGGTTTTGGATCCATTTACGTGACAATTTCCATATTCTTTTGTCTTGCATATTGAGATGAAGTAATTTTTCAAAAATCATCATCTTGGAGAAAAAATCACATCACATCTCTCATCACAAAATATCCTGATTTGAGAGTTAAGCAGTCTCAGACTGCCAGCTCTTATTCATTTTGTAATTATGGAACTTATAAAACAAAACTGTCAGAGTTAGAAATATCAAGTTGTAAAGGTTGACTTTACAAAGACATCTGGCAGGAAAACCAGCCATTTTCCCCACTATTCTTAAAGTTGCTGTAATGTTTTTTCTTAATAATTTCTGATGATTTTTCTATTGGTTTTCGAACCAATTAATCCACTAATCATTGTGGCTTTCAGATAATGCTGATTATTGTGGTAGTGACCCCAGTGACCACATTGGGACAGACCAAGAACCTTACTCCATTAGAGAGATAAGTGATGATGTGAGAGCTGCAGGGGCACAGTTCGGCGAATGAATTTCCTGCTCTGTGAGCTGTTGGCGTCACCTGATCCTTCAGCTAAATGAGTTAAGCTGCACTTTGCTAATAGTGTTAGAAAAGACAAAGAGGGTGAGGCAGAGGAAAGTTGCCTTCCTCTCTGCAACAATAGCTGCTTTTATGCGCCTCTCAAATTTAATCAGGATTACATTTTGTTGCTACTTTCAGGTGATATTGGAATAATCAGTGCTATGATTCAACTTAAGTCACTGAACTCTGAAGTGGCCCCCTAAAGTGCCTTAAATAATTATAATGCCATGTGTTACAGGTTTGTGAAATGTAGTCCCTAGGGTAAGAGATTTTTGCCATTGAAAAGTCTACTTATTTCCCCTTAAATGGTGGCACGTTTGTAAAGAAAACGCATTTTGGGGTTGAACAGCAGAGTTGAGTGTGTGGATTGCACCCTTGAAAAAATTGCCAAATCTTCTTTGCCAATGCCAAACAGCTTATTCTGCTATTTACTTTTGTTCTGTCTCCATTGTGTGTCTGCATTTAAATAAACCATACAAGTAACAGATTAAAAAAGCAGTCGTGTTTGTGGTAATGAATCATTTCAGTTCAATTCAATTTTTTTATATAGCACTAAATCACAGCAACAGTTCCCTCAACGCACTTTATATTGCAAGCTCCACAATAATACAAGATCTGTGATCATCAATATGTGATTTGTGACGGCTTGGGTTTTTTTTGCAGCACAGTAGCTCTACATTGAATCATTAGTTTCTTTTAGTGATAAAGAAGAAGCAGTGTCTCTAGACTTTCCTTCAGTCTGCATAGATCCTATTCACTAAAAGCAAGAAAAGCCTGTAGCCTGAAATGCAAAACTAAGATCAACTGAAGGCTTTTCAGGACGTTTTTAGGACACCCTGATAGTAATGAACTACAGTAGTCCAGCCTAGAAGTAATAAATGCATGAGCTAGTTTTTAAGACAGGATGTTTCTAATTCTTGAGATGTTGACAAATTCAAGAAAGCAGTCTTACATATTTGTTTAATACGTGTATATAAAGGACATATCCTGGTCAAAAACAATTCCAAGATTCCTCACAGTGTTACTGGAGGCCAGGGTAATGCTATCCACGGTAAGCATCTGACTAGAAACTACATTTCTAAGATTTTTGGGGCAGAGTATAATAATCTCAGTTTTATCTTAATATAAAAGCAGAAAGTTAGAGGTTATCCAGGTCTTTATGTCTTTAAGACATTCATTCAGTTTAACTAGGTGCTGTTTTAATCTGGCTTCATGGATAGATAAAGTTAGGTGTCATCTGCATAGCAGTGAAAATCATATGATCATATCGTATCATATGCCCTAGGGGAGCATGTATAATGTAGACAGAGTAGACAAGGCGGAAGAATTAAATCTCCTCCTTGCATCACTGAATCCAACAACAGTTTTTGGTGGATTTGCCATAAAACTGATCACCTGTGAAAAACCACAAAAAAAACCACCCTGAGGTCTCCACACTTCACTTGTCTCTTGTCTATCTTTAATGGCATGGCAAAAAATGCATTGAGCCTTGTATTTCTCTAAACTACTTGCAGTAGGAAAAATGAATCCTAAGGCTCTCTTTGATACAGTCAACAACATAATTTCTCCTCGAGAGTGCCTTGGGTGTCTCCCACGACACTGATAGGGACCTAAACCTGGATGTTTTTTGGGGGTTTTTTTTTCAAGTTTTTATATTGGATACTGAAATAATGAAGCGTGAATGATTAGCAAATTAATTGGTTTGTTATTTGTTTAACAAAATATTTAATTTAAAAATGAAATATTACTTTTTTTTAAATTATTAATTAAAAAAACTTGTTTGCTCACTGTTTAATAACAATATGTTCTGATACATTTATTAAAACTTTACTTTTAAATCCTCAGTAAAAGTATTTCGGGTATTCAAAATACTGTCCCTAAATATGTTGATTTTGAAATCTTCAGACTGTCCCCATTGTGTTACAGATTAAAGTTCGAAAACGCAAAGACTAAAAAAGAGTGGTCTGTTTTGTTTGTTGACTTGTTTATGGCAAATTTTACAAAAAAAAAAATCACTTAACTATAACTCACAGTTTACTGAGCCTGATTTAGACAACCATTTCAATGTTTTTTTTATGTGTGTATGGAACAAACATTTGCAACTATTTAATACTGAACATCTAAAAGAATGTTCAGATTGTAAAATGCAAGCCCACAAAACAATCTCCAAAAGTTGATTAAATCAGTAAATAAACAAATAAAGTTTGCTGTCTAACTGAACGCTTAAATGAGGCTTGCAGGTTGTAGTTTCACCGTTACAGCTCTGTAAGTCACGTATTATTCATGTCACATAAACATGTATTCTGGATTCTGTGTTCTTATCTTCTTAAATAAAAAAGAAATGACCAAATGTATTCTCTTCCTCAGGTTTTTTCAGGGTGATTACACAGTGGAGGTGGCAATCAATGACTACCTGGATATCTACTGTCCTCACTACGAGGCGGCGGAGTCAGCCATGCACATGGAGCATTATGTGTTGTACATGGTGAACTATGACGGATACATGTCCTGCGACCACCACAGAAAAGGTTTTAAACGCTGGGAATGTAACAGACCACAGAGCCCCAATGGGCCACTCAAGTTCTCTGAGAAGTTTCAGCTCTTTACACCCTTTAGCCTGGGCTTCGAGTTCAGGCCAGGACATGAGTACTACTATATCTGTGAGTACATAGCAGTGTACATACTGTCTGTTTTATATTGCTAAACTGAATATTACTACTTACCGTGTTATTAGGGTCAGGCTCGCTGTGCATGCTAGATTGATTCCTGCTTGAAGTTGCCAATTTGAAACTATTTTGGAGTCTGAATTATTATTTTTGCTGGTCAGATCAGCTGGAATGATTCACTATCAGTGACAGGAAGAATCAACTGTTAGCTTTGGGGAAAAAGGCAACTCTCAAAAATATTAATGTAGACACAGATTTTCCTTCCTGTCACACAAAGAATCATACATCCAGTCTTAGTCATGTAACAGACTGGTTGCTACACTGAGTAGATCAGAGCTTCCCTAAGTGTGGGGCCCGCCCCCTAGGGGGGGGCACAGAGCCATTGCGGGGGGGGGCGAGGTATGAAAAGGGGAAGGGGAAAAAAAAAAAGGCTTGGACACTGCTAGCGCGGGGCGCCCACACAAACGCAAAGCAGGAGATGAAGCATCGCTGAATATGTTTGCAAACCAACTTCATTCTAAGCCAAAGACTAGAAAATATGGTGAAGCATGTCTGCCCTTTGGTTTCACCTGCACAAGTGCCGCGGTAGGTCTCCTCTGCAGAACTGGTTTTCCCTTCGTCAGGAGCAGCGCTGGGCTCTCCAAATCACGGACAACCGTATCCCACATTCTTGATCTTTAGTTCACAAACACTTCTTATAATGACTAACTACTCCTGACATTGGAGATGCTAGCTCTTTATACAGTAAAGTTACAGCAGGATACAAATAATATCAGGCTCATCCTGCCACAATTTGTTCCCCCCGTCTAAATCACAGACAAACAGTATCCCACAGTTGTTTATGTTTTTGAACCTATTTTGCACAGAGAGGCATTTTTTGATTTGATTGCAATGTTGAATATTATTACACAGGAAAAAAACAACTACACGCAAAATAATCACACTGTGACGCCTCTGCCTTTCTAAATGGAGGGACAGTAACTGCGTGTGTATGTAAGCTGTAAAACCTGCAGATAGTCAGATTAACAGTATTTTGTCTCTATCTGCCATTCTGCAATTCATCTCACGTAAACAATAACGTAGCGCACAGTGTAATGTGAAAAAAAGGCACATACCTTTGACGTTGCGTGACGAACTCTGTGTTCCTCGTCCACACATAAACGCAAAAAAGGAGTTTTAAGAAATCTCCGTTTTTGGTGATTTGAAATGCCGTTTACGTGTGGACGAAACAGCTGCGTTTTCAAAAATACCCGTGTAGGTGTGGACGTAGCATAAAAGAGTTAGTAGTTTATTTTATTACTACCTGTCATTTATTGCAGATTACTTTTATTTGCTTAATTATTTACTAAATGTTTGAGGTGTGAAATAAACCCCGATTGAGTAAAATATGGGTGTGTGTGTGGTTAAAAGGGGGGGGCGGGCGCAAACATTTTTCTTGTAAAACAAAGGGGGGCCCAGCAAGAAAAGTTTGGGAACCGCTAGAGTAGATGGTAATGGAGTGTTGGCTCAATTCTTACAAAATGTTTTGATATCTGAGTTTGCCCTTCATAGAGGAACCTTTGAGATTTTAGCCAACCCCAAAGGAGCACAAAGATTATGCAATATTATTAAAATGAATTAAAAGTAAGCCAAAAACTTAACAAAAAATGCTTCTGTTGTTTATTTAAAATAAAGTTAAATACTAGACTTACTGACCTATTGCAGTGTCTAAGAATAATTCATAATGAATAATCACAGAGGTCAATATAATGCACGAGTTTTACGGTGGACACTTTAGCTTTCAATCCTGATAAAAGGCTCAATCATGTTGACCAGAAGTTTTCAAACTAAAGAACAACTTGCACAGCATTTTTTTTTTCAGTCTTTTAATCGTTTGGAAGCAATCGAACAAATCATTAAGCACTTAAATTAGTATTATTCAGTTACAATAGTGAAAAATCACACTGCCACTCCATACACCTTGAAAAGAAGCAAACTGGTAAGAGAGCTGCTTTTAATTCATACAAATACTCCTTTTAATGTGCAAACTCTGTACAGAGCATCGCCATGTATCCCAAAATTCACAAATTGAGAATAGATTTGTAGTCTGTGACATCAACGCAGTTGCAACTATCCTGTTTACGTCATGTTTAGAGTGACACTATTCATATCAATGTACAGTGGCTTGCAAAAGTATTCGGCCCCCTTGAACTTTCCCACATTTTGTCACATTACAGGCACAAACATGAATCAATCAGTTTTATTGGAATTCCACGTGAAAGACACGTGGGAAGTGGAACGAAAATCATACATGATTCCAAACATTACAAATAAATAACTGCAAAGTGGGGTGTGTGTAATTATTCAGCCCCCTTTGGTCTGAGTGCAGTCAGTTGCCCATAGACATTGCCTGATGAGTGCTAATGACTAAATAGAGTGCACCTGTGTGTAATCTAATGTCAGTACAAATACAGCTGCTCTGTGACGGCCTCAGAGGTTGTCTAAGAGAATATTGTGAGCAACAACACCATGAAGTCCAAAAACATACCAGACAGGTCAGGGATAAAGTTATTTGAGAAATTTAAAGCTTAGGCTACAAAAAGATTTCCCAAGCCTTGAACATCCCACGGAGCACTGTTCAAGCGATCATTCAGAAATGGAAGGAGTGTGGCACAACTGTAAACCTACCAAAACAAGGCCTTCCACCTAAACTCACAAGCTGAACAAGGAGAACGCTGATCAGAAATGCAGCCAAGAGGCCCATGGTGACTATGGACGATCTACAGCTCAGGTGGGGGAATCTGTCCATAGGACAACTATTAGTCGTGCACTGCACAAAGTTGGCCTTTATGGAAGAGTGGCAAGAAGAAAGCCATTGTTAACAGAAAACCATAAGAAGTCCCGTTTGCAGTTTGCCTTAAGCCATGTGGGGGGCACAGCAAACATGTGGAAGAAGGTGCTCTGGTCAGATGAGACCAAAATGGAACTTTGTGGCCAAAAGGCAAAACGCTATGTGTGGCGGAAAACTAACACTGCACATTACTCTGAACACACCATCCCCACTGTCAAATATGGTGGTGGCAGCATCATGCTCTGGGGGTGCTTCTCTTCAGCAGGGACAGGGAAGCTGGTCAGAGTTGATGGGAAGATGGATGGAGCCAAATACAGGGCAATCTTGGAGAAAAAAACACCTCTTGGAGTCTGCAAAAGACATGAGACTGGGGCGGAGGTTCAGCTTCCAGCAGGACAACGACTCTAAACATAAAGCCAGGGCAACAATGGAACGGTTTAAAACAAAACATATCCATGTGTTAGAATGGCCCAGTCAAAGTCCAGATCTAAATCCAATCGAGAATCTGTGGCAAGATCTGAAAACTGCTGTTCACAAACACTGTCCATCTAATCTGACTGAGCTGGAGCTGTTTACCGACCTTTGCTACGTGCTGTCTTCATCCTGCTCTCTCCCTCTCTGTCCTCCTCTCTCAGACTTTGTGCTTAGACCCAAATGTTAAATGTAACAGTGATACAGAATTTACAAACCTATAGAAGGCACAAACTAATTCAAATCAATTTATAGCAATATTTGAAATGAATACAGACTGCTGCTGGACATTGACAGGTAACATCCTTTCAACTTGTTACTTGGAACTGGAGCTGTACTGGAACAGTGATGCTAAAGATCACAACAGATGATGTGTCCCTAATACCTGCTGGCGACTCACTGAACAGTAATCTTGTGCAGAAGAACTTCAGAGTTTATGGTATTATTATCATCGTGTCCTATTTTTGAATTGTTTAATAAACACCGAAGCCCAATTTTACTGGAATAGAAATGGAAATGTTTAACAAACTAAAAAAATATAAAGTAGCTCCTTTACTTGCAATTAGAGATATTCCAGCAGACTAATGGCTCAGAAAACTAAATTTAGCTAATAATCTCTAGTGATTTAGGCTACATTTGCTAACATTGTTAACACTATTTAAAGAACAAATAAAAATAAACAGACATTTTGCAAGTCACAGCCACGTCCCTGCGTTATCAGAGCAGTCTGCATGTTTTCTATGTTTAAGTTAAAGTGTTTTAAATCAGGATTACTGATTTGTGTCATAAAATTACCTCTTGCTTCCTCTCTATGATTTTTATTTAGGCGATTAGAAGACAATGTTAGAACATTTTACTAAAATGCATTAGTACTACTGCAGCTACTGCAGTTATTTGTAAGGGTGCTGTGATAAAATTCAGGAGTGCTTGAGCAGCCCCTAAAAAGAGTCTAAACTCACATGCTGCTGACTATACAAAAATGCTGAAGAAGACTGACCAGCTATCAGTTTATACCCTGAAGCTCAAGTGCAGTTGACTAACTGCCATATTAGTTTGAGGCAGAAGCTATATTTGTAACAAGATTGGAGTGGTAATTTAACTGCTACTGCTAGCTTGGAAACGTGCATTCATATGTGTGCAATGCTCACTTACTGGCTGAAATCATTTGTTTTATTAATAGAAAATTCATATTTCAAAAAGTAACTTAAGACCATTTTTAATACTATAGAACCCTGTAGTAGAAACTTAAACAAGAGCATAAACTACTAGGCTGTATACTAAAAAAATAACCTGTTGGATTAAAATGAAAGAAAGATGTAGATCAGTAGCACAAAATAAACTTATGTTTAGTCAACATTAACTTTATGTTTTATAACTTTACAGCTGATAACATGATTTTTATGTTATTTTTATTTTTCATTATTGTGAAATCTTTAGTTATCTCATGTTAATATTGCACAACAGTGCATTTTTTATGTTGAGTGTTTTTAGGTATAATTATTTCATTTTAATATTTATTAAATGTATTATCTCTTAAACCGCTGTTTGAACATGTTTGAAATATATGAATTAGTCTTGGTAATCTCAAATTACACTTACAAATATTTGTTGGTCCACAAACAGACATCTACCAGTGATAAATGCATTTTGTACATTCTTATACTTTAACTAAACATATCGAAAATATCAGTTCTAAACACTAAATAAACTAAAACATACTTCTTTAATTATCTGTACTTTCTCAGTATTACACAATTTAAAAACTGGAGTTACATTTAACACAGTAAGCATATGACACAATTAATAGAACTGTAAGATAACAGTACTAAAAACATACTACTGATCTCAAGCAAGATAAGGTGCAACAGTGAATTTACAATAGTAAAATTACTAAAATGTTACATGTCAAAGTAGTAAAGTGAGACTTGGCCCAAGCAAAGTCTGCATTTTAGCTCTTCATTAAACAAGAGCTCAGGAACATGTAACAATCTAGGCCAACATTTCCTTTAGCTGGATAAGATGGATGTCTCAGAGATAGTCTAGAGATACAGTGGGGTTATTCTTAATTGCCAGTGTTGGTGTCGATACTATCAATGTTTGGATTGATCTGCCCACCTCTACTTTGTAGTGGCTGAGGCAACATGCTAGTAATGTTACTGCTGACACACTTCCAACAGTGCAGCCACACTAATAGTAATAAAAATACTATTTTTTTTTAAGAAAAGAATAAAACTAAATCTATAGCGGAGTAAATATCCTAAACATATGACCTTACCTAGAAATAAATTGCCTTTATGTTGTGGCAGCAGACCAATGTCAACAAGCTAGTTTTTTCCCACATGTTGCATTACCTTGTGTAATTGCACTACCACTTACTACAGACATTGGTGAAAGTTTGTAATGGTCTGTTAATTTAGGTTTGAAACTATACAAACAATCTTAACTGACATTATATTTGATTATAAATAATTTGATTATGACATCATTTGATGTTAGCTAACATTAGCTAACTGAGCCTTACGTATGTTTCATGTTGCTCGATAACCAGCCGACATACCAGTAAAAAAAAGTTTAGTTTTCAGATTGAAAAAAGCAAAATCCGTCCATGGAAAGGTTGTTGTCACACTACACCACACACACACCATTAGCTCTATGACGTCTCCATATTCAACATTAGGAAAACTCAGCGGATACAATTTCCACTACTGGGCAGGGTTACAACAATGCAAATAAATAATCCACACAAGCACTTTGAAAATAGTTCAACAATCTTAGAACAATTTTTGTGATGTATTGCTTCTGCTTGTGGGATTGCTCAAAAGCCAAATAAAACCCAGAATGACAACAGAAAAGCTTTAAAAAGGAATTAATATACTCTGGAATGGTGGTGCTCTGCTCTCCAGTGCTGCAACACTTGTAACCAGAATATCATGGAAAGGTCATCTTAAGAAAACCTTTTCTCTATTGTCACTGGAGAATTCAGCATGAGAGGTTTGCAAATAAACATCTAAACAAAGCAGTTTTCTTTGGAAACAAGTACTTCAAAGTTAAAATATCAAAAGTATTTAGAATCTGCACATGCCAACGAGATTGACCAAAAACGTTTTCATGACCTATGACTGGAGAAGCCCCTGGGGGATTTGGAGCAGTCTTCTTACTAACCAAATCTGGGGTAAAATGTTTGTAGTTTACATTTTGACCATAAATTCTCCATGATTTTCTATGGCCTTTGTTTCCTTTGTAGCATCACCGCATCCAAACTTGGGTAGGAAGCCTTGTCTGAAGCTAAAAATCTACGTCAAGCCAACAAGTAAGTTTCTTTCCTTTTTTCTATTTCATATTGTTGTATAATTTTACACCTCTTCTCCCTGATTTGACTATGAAAGTAAAGAGATTTCTCAATTACAATCACAACACACCATTGAGTTATTAGAAAATATTACTGAAGTACTACTTGAACTCAGTGGAATATTAACCGAACTCAAGTTTCATATTTAAAATGCAACATGTACACAAACTCACTAAGCTGCTATTCTTTCCTCTAAAGCTTAAGATGTGAAACAATTTAAAGTGCTTTAAATTCTGAAATTGTGGGGGGTAGGGGGGTAACAGGGACTACGCTACGTCGGACTGGACCAGCTACAGGGGCCTGGCTAGCTACGGGTTTTTCAAGGGTGCAAAGCCTGCTCTCCAACTTATTGATCCTGGCCTCCAGAGCTGCAAACTGGCTACATTTATTACAAGTATCGTTGTCACTAAGTATCGTTGTCAGAGAAGTAACGAAATATCTGACACAATGAGCAGGAAAGTGCAGGAGGGACAGGTGAAGAGGCACAGGGAGTAAATACTGTCAATATAATTAGTGAGTGAATCAATAGTGAGTGAGTGAGCACTTTGGATATTGCATATGAAGATTACACTATGAAATAAGACCTTATGTATAAATTTTTAATCAAATTGGCTACACAGATAAGCTACACAAAAACAGCACTGTGCCTTGTAACAGGAACATAAAGTGATACTCTACCAACACCAAGGCATATAGAGCCGAAACCAAACAAGGAAGTGCTTAACTACCTGGTATAACTCAAATGTGCATCTTAAAGCAAATAATCTGTAAGGTGGAGAGGAAAGGCCATCTCACTAATTAGGAAAGTCTTGATTTGGAAAAAGCGTTAATTTCTCTGTTTTTGAAAATGCCCTCCATAAAACTACAGCATCTTACCATTCATCAGTGGAAAACAAATAAGAGCCCCAGGTTTCTCTTCAAAGTGAGAGCTCTGATGAGCCAAACATTCCTTTGATCTGAACTAGTAATGACTTTATGAATTTCTTCACAAAAAATGTAATTATTAGAGAAAAAAAATCAGGGCCATCTCATATATATATTATTATATACAGTAACTTTCAAAACTACTGATTTATTTTTTTCAGTATTTACTTTATCCAAACAATCAGTGTGTCTATTACACTCCAGTCCTACAAAACCACTCAAAGACGCCCTAATTAAGGCTTTGATCTTAAATATAATCAGTCTTTTGCTATCAATGGGCTGAACACAACAGGCCTTTAATGTGCCAGTAATTAACCCCTTACTTAAAAAGCTATCACTTCACCTACCTTTTCTAAGCTAATTATAGGCTAATCTCTAACATTTCTTTTATCTAAAAATAATTGAAAGAGTAATTGTAAAACAGCTAGACTGGACAGGCCCCGTCCCCACCCTGATGTACAAAAATTGGATGGATGGAGGTCTGTGAATAAATTAAAACATTTTGTGATATGTTTACTTGCAGCTCATATTAATTAATGTTGTTCTGATGTTAACTCATTTTCAGATGATTCGGTGTACGACTCTGCGGAGCCCTTCCTGACTGACGATACCACTGGTGGCTGCAGCCTTGCTTTGCCGTCTGCCATGTTGCTCACCCTCCTTCTCATACTCCTCATCTCCTATTCATAGCAGCTTTCTGAGTCAGACCAAGCACCGCCCCACCGCCGCTACCACTCTGAAGAAAACTTGATGAAGGAAACTAATGTAGCTTCCTCTTACTGAACTTTGGCCTTTACCTCAATAATACTCAAAGGCTCGAACAATCAGAGGAGGCAAGAACAGTGGTGGGGGGAGCTTGAGGCTGCATATCAACTCTGTGTGGAATTTCTGGGATCATCCCTGCTCTTCTTTTAATGTTTCTGTCAAGCTGTCATATAAAATTGTGTTACAGATCTATAAGTCAGGGCTTTAAAGGATCTCATGTTAACATTTCCAGGTTCCATCTCTGAATATTGGTGCATAATGCTTTATTTTTAAAAACTGTGAGGATGATTTATTGTATTTACATCCAACAGCCGCTTCCTGAGTTTTAGACATTGACTGAGATTTATATCCTGCTTAAGACACTAGAGATCTTGTCCTGGTGCATGGTCAATAGTCCAAGTAAATACAAGGTCATAATGACCAAAACTAGCAATATTGCCTTACAATGAGCCATGACCTCAGTTTCACAATCAACTATTGATCAGTGGCATAAGTATCAATCACAGCTATCTAGGAAAAGGCTGCAAAGAGAGCAATACAAGATGGTGAAAGATGTGCTCTTAGGTCTCTTCCTCAGTTGAGCAATGGTCGCTCACTTTTCACTTTTCAATGTCCTTGACTACCTGCTCAAGTCTTCCTCTTTGTCCAGGATGTGCTCATCCTAGTCTGTCTAGTTCAATGAAACTGTGCACCTACCCTTGTTGCCACAATGGTGATTCTATCTTTACAGAATAACACGTGTGTCTTCCTCTTCTTCGTGCTTGTATTGGATGTTGGGGGCTTTGCATTTCTGAGGCAGGCTGCAACTTTCATCTGAAGTTGCCAACCACAAAAATTGTTTCACGATGCATATTTTATCCCTGTTATTAGTTACACTAGCTGGATTTGTCTTGCCGTGAAAGCTCAACTCTTTCTTAAGAATGGCTTTCCCTGCTTGAGAGAGTTGTCTGTCAGATACATTCATCACCCACTAGTCAAAGTGCTCGGTGTGAATTTAGCATACATCTGTCCGTTTCCACCATGCAGCAAGTAGCTCAGACTTCTGCTGTCTCATCTGTGACTATTCATGCTGTTCTCATCTAGAAGCTATCGGTTCCTGGGTTTTGCCTATTGTGCCTAACTTTTATATGAATGAAATGGAGAAGAGCTCTGATATCCTATCTTGGAACACGGCTGAGCCTTTGGTCCAGATATAAATGACAATCTGGTGGACAAACACATCAAGTTCATCAGTCTAGATATAAAAACGTTACAGGCAATCATTGTCAGACTGTGAAATTACTAATCCATACCCATGCAGTAGTACAAGTTTGACTTTGTTTATCCGCATGACCACAATATGGGTGTCATCAGGACAGTACAACAGAGCAAACATTTTCCCATACACACAGTGGCCAGGGAAGCTGAAGAACATCATAACAAAGAGACCCTGCATAGATTTGTTTTTTGTGATTTGGTGCTATGGAATAAAATATAACTGAATTGATTGTCCCAGTGGAGCATTTGTCAAAGCTGGCAACATGCTGACCCAACAAAAACCACTGATGAACTGGTGTTTGTTAGGATTGGACAGCTTTTCTTCTTATTTATTTATTTATTTTCACCACTGTGAAATCAAACTCTAAAACATAATACACCAAAAACGAAACAACCATTGCTGAACCAAGGAGGGGGCATAAGAGTATGTCTTTCACCATATTAAAACGCTGTGATTGCAGCAATTTCCCAGCTCTGTGGTAGTACTCGTCTGCTTTGATCAGTGGTAATGGCAGTTTTCATATTAATGGTGGTACTTGTTTTTGTCATGTAACTGCACTGTTTAAAGGTTGGGGAAGCCTACAGTTAGCGCAGACTGAAGAAGTCATTTGTGTTGCAAGGTTTCTTCCACTGAAAACCATGTGTAGAGATCAAAAGAATAAAGTTCCTGGCACTAAATATCTTAATATCTTGCTGTGCAAGTGGTTTCAAACTAAAGCTGATAATTGAAGGATTTTAGACAAGACACTGGATAAAAATCTTGGCAATATAGGTAACTTTCTTATTATTTAAATGAATACTTTCATCTGTAATTAAAGTCATGGTATTTAGGGATTATACAGGTTACAGACAGGCCCCTTATTTTCCCAGTAAACTCCCAAAAACCAAGCTATTAACTTAGCTGTAAATTCTTAGTGTATTTGCAACAATGACCCAGACAATTACTAACTACAAACTGTAAAAGAAATTGTTTAAGTGTTGATAACTACACTATGAAGTATTGGCTTGTTATATTTAATGCAATTACATATTTTTTGTTGGGACAGTACGCAATTTTACCTTCCCTGCGAGCAGCACCATGTGACAGCAGGGAAGACAGAATCCCTTTAAAGTAGAAGAGCAGTCTTGCAAAAGCTAGATATAGGGAGGGGCAGCTTTCTGCCATAACTTTATCTTTCAAGAAAAGTGTACATTTATTATGAAAACTTACTGTGAAGTAACGTTAGATAGGGACTCATTTTCAGGAACGTATATGAGCAAAATAAGTTACCTTAAAATCAACCAAAATGTTATTGTATTTTTTTCTACTGTTCTAGGCAGCTGTTGGTTTCTGCACTTGTTGGTAACAAAATTAAACATATTATGTAACAGATTTACACATTTTAATTTCTGTGTTAAAATGTACAACTGCAGGTACAGTATGGAACATTTCCAAAATAAAATGCTCAAGAAATTACTAGACTAGTGGTACATATCTAAAATTAGAAACATCTTTTCTCAGAGTGATGCTGAAAGTCACGTTTATCACTTCTGTGCTGGACTACTGTAATTCGTTATTATCAGCATTTCCTAAAAACTCCCTGAAGAGCTTTTAGTTGATCCAAAATGCTACAGCAAGAGTACTGACAGGATATTTCGCCCATACTGGCTGCTCTTCATTGGCTCGGTGTTAAATCCAGAATCAAATTTAAAATCCTTCTCATCACATACAAGGTCTTGTATAATTAGTCCCCATTTTATTTTAAAGAGCTTTACAGGACTATATCACCCCAGCAGAGCACTTCACTCTCAGACTGTGGGCTTATTTGTAGTTCCCAGGTGCTTGCTCATAGGCGGTTGACTGATTGTTGGGTTTATTCTGGGGTTGGTTATTGTTATTCTAGGGCAGGGGTGTCGAACTCCAGGCCTCGAGGGCCGGTGTCCCGCAGGTTTTAGATATCACCTTGTTTCAACACACCTGAATCAAATTATTAGTTCATTAACAGGCTTCTGGAGAACTTCAAGACATGTTGAGGTGATAATTTAGCCATTTAAATCAGCTGTGTTGGATCAAGGACACATCTAAAACATGCAGGACACCGGCCCTCGAGGCCTGGAGTTCGACACCTGTGTTCTAGGGTCTTTACTTTACAATATATTACAACAAATTTATTAAAGACATATATACACTACCAGTCAAAAGTTTGGACACACCTTGTCATTTAATGGTTTTTCTTTATTTTTGCAAACACATACTGAAGACATCTATTATACGAGTCAAGCTATATGGAATTATGCAGCAACGAAAAAAGGATAAATAACTTTATACATATCTTATGTTTTAGAATTCTGAAAGTAGCTACCATTTGCTTTGCTGACAGGGCTGCGATGACCTGAAATGGTTGAAATGAAATGGACCATCAGTTGTGCTGTGCAGAAGTCAGGTTGGCACAGAGCTGACAGCCCTAATTTGACAACTGTTAGAATTCATATGGCAAGGACTAGTAAAGAGAAACAACAGTTCATCATTACTTTAAGAACTGACAGTCCGTCAGTCTGGAAAATTTTGAATGTGTTCCCAAGTGCAGTCACAAAAACCATCAAGCACTATGATGAAACTGGCTCACATGTGGACTGCCTCAGGAAAGGAAGACAAAGAGTCACCTCTGCTGCTGAGGATAAATATATCCAAGTCACCAGCTTCAAAAATCACAAGTTAACAGCACCTCAGATTAGAGCCCAGATAAATGCCACACAGAGTTCGAGTACCAGACACATCTCTACATCAACTGTTCAGAGGAGACTGCATGAATCTGCTATTTGCCCTTTATGGTCAAATAGCTGCTAAAAAGCCACTACTAAGGAAAAGCACCAAGCAAAAGAGAGTTGTTTGGGCCAATACAAGGAATGGACATTAGACCAGTGGAAATCTCTGCTTTGGTCTGATGAGTCCAAATTTGAGATGTTTGGTTCCACCCTCCCTATCTTTGTGCAATGCAGAAAAGGTGAACTGATGGTCTCTACGTGCATGGTTCCCACCATGAAGCATGGAGGAGGAGGTGTGGTGGTGTACGAGTGCTTTGCTGGTTGAGGATTTATTCAAAACTGAAGGCACACTGAACCAGTATGGCTACCACAGCATCCTCCAGTGACATACCATCCCATCCAGTTTTTGTTTAGTTGGACCATCATTTATTTTTCAACATGACAGTGAGCCCAAACACACCTCCAGGCTGTGTAAGGCCTCTCTGACCAAGAAGGAGAGTGATGGAGTGCTGCGCCAGATGGCCTGGCCTCCGCAGTCACCTGACCTAAACGCAGTTGAGATGGTTTGTGATAAGATGGACCGCAGAGTGAAGGCAAAGGGGCCAACAAGTGCTCAGCATCTCTGTGAACTCCTTCAAGACTGTTGGAAAACCATTTCAAGTGACTTCCTCATGAAGAGTGGCTATTTTTAAGAATCTAAAATATAAAACATGTTTTGAGTTATTTCACACTTTTTTGTTTACTACATCATTTCATGTGTTCACTGATAGTTTTGATGCCTTCAGTGAGAATCTACAAAGTAAATAAACATGATAATAAAGAAAAAACATTAAATGTGAAGATGTGTCTAAACCTTTGACTGGTAGTTTATTTACACATACTTGTATATAGTCCCATAGTTTTCAGTGAATGTAAACTGACATCCACTGTGAACTAATAGACAAACCAGGCTAAGCCATGAAGTCCAAAGAATTGTCTGTAGATCTCTGAGACAGGATTGTATTGACAAACGGATCAGGGAAGGGTACAGAAAAACGTCTGCAGCATTGAAGGTCACCAGGACTCTTCCCAGAGCTGGCTGCTCAGCCAATCTGAACAGTATTATTGCCAAAAGGCACTATCCAGGTAACTCTCAGAGCATGATAAACAAAATTCTCTGCTCTGATGAAACAAAGATTGAAATCTTTGGCTTGAATGCAAAGTGTCATGTCTTATGTAAACCTGGAACTGCTCATCACCTGGCCAATATAATTACTACAGTGAAGCATGGTGGTGGCAGCATCATACTGTCAGGATGCTTTTTTGCCAGCAGGAGTCAGGGTGGAAAACTGTAAGGCCTAGTTTAGGGTTAAGGGAAAGATTAATACAGAAATCTACATGGAAATCTTTGATGATAACCTTTTAGAGCACTTTGAACCTAAAGGATCAAGACTCTAAGCACACAGCCCAGATAACAAAGGAGTGGCAGTGGCTTTGGGACCAATTTGTGAATGTCCTGAACCAGAGGCTAGACTTGAAGCTGACTGAATATCTGAAAGGATCTGAAAATGGCTGTTCACTAGTTCTCCACATCCAACCTGATGAAGCTTGAAAGATTCAGCAAAGAAGAATGGGAGAAATTGTAAGTAGGTATGTCAAGCTTGGAGCATCATACTAAAAAAAAAAAAATCTGAGGCTGTAATTGCTGCCAAAAGTGATTCAACAAAGTATTCACCAAATACTTATGTACGTTATATTTTTGTTTTTTCTTGTCTTGTATAATATATTTTGCATAAAGTTGCACGAGATATTGTACAAGTAGATGATTATCCCACAAAAGCCTTTAAAGTATGTTTTTCAGCAACAAAGTTTGAATAGTGAGATCAATAGGACCTAAGGAATTATATCTTGTTAGAATACTTGTGTTGTTTTTAGTACAGCATCTTACACACGTACACAGACAAATGCTGACATACACTGTTAGGATTTTGTTAGGGTTGGGTTTAGACCTTTGTCTGTACAGTTTCTGATTCTTATAATCTTGAGGTCACTTGAATGTATGTTTGACTTAGCATGACCTTTGTCTATGGCTGCTGAAAGCAAGCAGACAACGTGAGGTAAGCGTAGACTTTATTAAAAGTTTACAAAGCTCCCATGTATGGAAACAGAGGCTAATGTGGAAGTGCCTTGAACCTTCTTTTTCATGGCTAGCACGGTGTAACGCCATTAACCGAAAGAAATGAGATGTGTATATGGTCTCGATAAATATTTTCCCAATTAGGTTATTAGTCAATCACTATCTTGAAGTTGCCTTCAGTAACACATTATGTTTGTCAAATAAACTGTAGTCCAATTTAGAGTCAAAAGAAAAAGCATGTTATGCTTTGTCAACCAGTGAAAACAGGATCTCATGTAGAACTATTGTGTGCCCTTCAGCTCAGTCTCTCATTCAAATTGATAACTTTGGTTTCACAAAACAAGATGATAATTACTTAAACCAACACTTGACTTGACAGTATATGTACTCCTTTTATATACTCTATGAAGTTTCATGAACTCACAGCTAACATTGTGTCACAGGTAAAGTAATTTAAAGTAGCTTCACTAACTGACAAATCAAACTATTACATGTATCTATAAAACCAAATACCTTCACAGGTGTGAAATTGTGTTAGTTATTGTATTTCATAGTAAGTAGTCACTTTTGTAAAAGTGTTATTCTGAATTAACAACATAATTAGTTCAGAAATTCATACTTTTTCAATAATGTAATAAAAGCTCTCTGTAATCACGCTCTCAGTTATAAACCCCAAGAACTTGATTTTGTTTGTCTGGATGTAGCGTTTTCAGAGGGAGAAATGCTTCGTCAGTCGTGGTCTCACGGCCAATGATGGATGGTCTTTGATCATAATAATTATCAAAAGCTGACCTCACAGCCCATTCTTCACCAGTGGTGCTAGTTTCAGTCATTATGCAAATGTACTGTTTATAAGGTTGGGGAAACCTGCAGTGAGCTGAGACTGAAGAAGTTACTTGGATGAGTGACGAAAAATTTCTCTCTCTCACTGAAAGCGCTACGTCCAGATGAACAGAATCAACTTTTTGAGATTTCTTTACCTGGATGATTGAGCATGCATCAAGATATCAGTTGTATAGAAAAGAGTAAAGTGGAATAACGTGGCTGATTTCACTCTCACATTATAAGTGTTAAGAAGAAAATGATAGGGAAGCCTATCTATAATTCTTACTGTTCTAGTCAATGGCCTTTTGTTTCTGCCAAAGACTCTTGTGAAATATGTCTAATGGATAAATCTTTAGGGTCAGGGTCAGTTAAAGGGGAGGAGTGTGTTTTATTATTTTCTGAACTGTGATGTTTTGTTGTTTAAAAATGTCGTGTGCAAAACACAAATGAAGAAATAGAAAAATGGCCTTTTACCTCACTGGTGCTGGATTTTTCATAACTGATAAACAGCGACACAGTGTGGTTTTAGATCTAGTCTTTTTTTTTGTTCTTCCCATCTCTCCATACCATCCCCCTTTTTTTTCCTGATGGCTGGACAGTGTGTCCTTGGAAGTAAATAAGCAGGGACTTGTTGAGAAATGCAGTATATCCAATGAACACACTGAGATAGATTCTGATGATGACAAACCACTTGTACTCCAATGAAGAACTAACAAAACAAGAGGATGTAGATGCTAATGTCTGTATCAACAACACGTTGTTTTTTAAATTTGTATTTTATTTTTTTCCATCTTTCTGTTTATGAATTTATTGGTAGAACTGAGAAGTGATCTGTCTGATGTTTGTAACTGTTTGTTGTTGTTGTTGTTGTTGTTTTACATGCATTGCAATGGTCTCTTGTTGCTTGGTAAGTAATAGATTTGATTTCTTTGTTGAGTTCAGTCATTATGTAGCATAAGATGATGTGATGGAGGGGAGGAAAGAAATCTACAGGAAATTAGTTCTGATTGTGGTTTTTGTGAGTGGGAGTGAGAGCGAGCTCTCCCTGTCATCTGGTTTACAGCGTCTGAGAAAAAGATTTTCTACACTCGAGTGTCTGAATATTTTATTCCTTTTAAGAAAAAAGTAATAAGAAAAGTTCTTGTATATTTTCATATTGAATGCAAATGAAATCCTGTTGTAAAACAGGTATTTTTCAGATTAGATAAAGAGCTATGGAAAAGTTAGATGTCATCAGGACTTGTGCTAGC